GACCTAGTCCGCAACCCAGGCATGTGCCCTGAGCGGGAATCGAACCAGCAACCCTTTGGTTTGCACGCTGGCACTCAATCTACTGAGCTACACCAGCCAGGGCTATTATTTGTATTTTGAATTACAGACCTCTCTGGCATAGAACTTTGAGTCCTTTTGATAAATATAAAACTTCCAAAAGAAATAATATTAGGACAATCACCAAAGTTTACAGAAATACAATGCAATTAAAACAAATTTCTAAGCCACATTATATAATTATGAGGAATTACTTATGAACATTTAAGACATTTAATACAACATTTGGAAAAAGTGTTTGGAAAAAGTGTTTTTAAACACTGGGATTCTGAAGTCGGTCTTTGACCCAGGGTAGTGGTGGCTGGGTTGACCACTGCCTTCACAAGGCATTTGCTGATCAGCAAGATTTAAAATGACAACTTTCTTTTCCCCTCTGAGGCCCTGGTCACAGCCCAAGCCAGTAGCTTATCTCTCTGTCAAGAACTGTGTTTTTCTTTTGAGTTTAAACCAATAAGAAAAGGGATTGGCCCTGGCTGGCATAGCTCAGCGGGTTGAGTGCGGGCTGTGAACCAAAGGGTCGCAGGTTCGATTCCCAGTCAGAGCACATGCCTGGGTTGCTGACCAGGTGCTCAGTGAGGGCCACACGAGAGGCAACCACACACTGATATTTCTCTCTCTCTTTCTCCATCCCTTCCCATCTCTAAAATTAAATAAAATCTTTAAAAAAAGGAGGATTTTTTTTTTCGAAGAGGCACGTTATATTTTTTTATTTTTATTATTTTTTTTAGAGAGGGAAGGGGGGGAGGGAGAGAGAGAGAGAGAGAAACATGAATGTGCAGTTGCTGGGAGCCGTGGCCTGCAACCCAGGCATGTGTCCTGACTGGGATTCGAACCTGCGACACTTGGGTTTGCAGCCTGCGCTCAATCCACTGAGCTACGCCAGCCAGGGCTGGATTGTTGTTTTAAAATAGGTTAATTCACTTAATGTTTAACTGCACACACAGAGAGTCACACGGACATTTTCTGACTAGTAAACACACATAGCATCGATCATCGAGTATTCAAAGCTCTTCACATATTATAGTTTTTGCCAACAAAAACCTCCTGATTCCAATTAAATACGTATTTCAATTACATTTATCTCAGAGAGCACCTTTTTAAACAGATGGTCTTTTCTGAGACAGTGGAACTCTGAACATCATTTTAAATTTGCAAACTGGTTTAGCAGTCTAACACTTGTGGGGGGAATAGACTCTTATTTATAAAACAGAGACTATGTATTTTAACTGCTAAAAATGGACTCTTTACAATTAAAGCTATTTAACTTTTAGCACCTACCCATCATTTCCTATGAAATTGGGATTTTATTTCAAAAACAAACTATCCTTCTCAGCTGTGGCTACTGCACTGATCAGCATGCTGAATGCTTCCCAAGTTCAGGTGCTTCCCAAATTCAGACAGAGCTGATGTCACTGCGAGAGACCTCCTCTGGGGACGAGCTGTCACCTGTTTAAAGGGGGACAGACCGGCTTCCTCTAGGGGACTGACGTTCTTTTGGTTTCGACTCCGCCTCGCCCCCAAACCATCACTTCCCTGGCGGGCCTCCCGAGGGCGGGGGACCGGAGACTGTGAGCCTGGGAAGGCTTTCCCTGGAAACAGCCAGTCGTTCTGCTGGGCAGCTCAGGTGCTCTTCAGGTGCTGGCTAGGGAGTGCACCATCCCTCCTACAGGGATGGTCTTGTAAATGGCGAAGTCTAGTTTTTTAAACTCTTAGTCTGTGGTTTTCTTCTCCACAACAATTTGGAAGTCTTATGGGTCTGGAGCAACCCCAGATGCAGTGAGTAATAGATGGAGACTTTGGCAGTGCTTTCCAAGCTTGAATGTGTTTGTGAATCCCCTGGGTTTTTTTTTGTTAAAAAGTGCAGATATTGACTCATTGGGTCCAGGATGGTGCCTGGGACTCTGAATTTCTAGCAAGCTCCTAGGTGCTGACGATGCTGCCTGATGCCAGGGACCCCTCCTTGAGCAGCAAGGGACAGGGTGGGCAGCAGGTGCACAGAGTCGATCCCCCGATGTCATATTTTTGCTTCCTTCCCCTTCCCATTACTCTCCCGGGTGATGAAGCTAAGCTCCATCACTTCAGGTGGGATCACAAACAGAGTCTGCGGTGTGACCCTTCAACCTCCTGCCCCTCCTCATCCACCTGCGCTCCTCTTCTCCTTCCTGGCCATCAGCGGTGTCAGGGGTCCTCAGTCAAAGGGGCAGGAAGGGGCCTCATGCACTTTTCCGTTCAGGGTGACCCAGTATGCTCCCCGTTCTTTGTAAGCTGGAGCTGGTGAACAGTTTTGACCTCCGCATTTTCCCACGATGTCTTCCGAGACCCTGACATTGTGAAACATCTGAGGGTCAACCTGGAAAGCTCCCATTCTGGTCAGATGGAGTCATGCCGTCCGTGGAAGGTGAGGGTGCAGAGCTCTTACGGAATCTGGAGAAACTAGAGACGCTTGTGATCTTCAGGGAGAAGAGACGACTTCTCTGTATCTGGCCCTGGGGGCGGGGAGACTGGTCCTTGGAGCCAAAATTCAGCGAACTCCAAGAAGGCTATCTGAAGTGTTTGTGTAGGAGAACATTAGGGTTGATCCTTAGGATTAAGCCTTTGCATGTTCTTAATTCCTGACTGGCAGCCCTGTGTCATCACGGAGGGGCTGAGTCCCCCCTCAGAGGGGCTCCCTCACTTCTTTCTGCAGTGACACAATCTTAGGTCTTGTTCCCGTGCAGGCACCCGCTTCCCAACTGCCACAGTAGGGTATGGCTTCACCCCGCTCACCAGCGTCTTTCTTCTACTTCGGGTCCACTGCGATGCTCTCCTTGTTTCCGAGCCCCGCTATGTCTTCTTGGCGTCTTTCTCTTTTTAAATCTATCATTGCCATGGACAATGGGAGAATGTCCTGTGTCATCTCACCGGAAGTGTGAGGTTCTGGAAGTGGGTATTCTATACTGCTACTTTAAACTTACTTACTGATGTTTAACAGAGAATGGAAGGGCGAGAGAGAAACACTGATTTGTTGTTCCACTTACTGATGCATGTGTTGGCTGCTTTTTGTATGTGCCCTGGCCGAATGTCAGACCCGCAACCTTGGCTTTTTGGGATGATGCTCTCATGAACTGAACTACCTGGCCAGGGCCCTATACTGCTATTTTTAAAGCAGGTGAATAAAGGGCCAGGGCCTTTTAAAAACCTGTCCTTGGATGCAGGAAGACTTGGGCGTGGCGTACCGGATGGCATTGAGTGCATTCTGCCACCCACTCACAGCAGGGGTGTCAGAGTCATTTTCACGGGGGGCCACATCAGCCTCACAGTTGCCTTCAAAGGGCCGAATGTCATTTTAGGGTTGTAGAAATGTTACTGCTCCTTAACTAGGGGCAAGGAGCTCGGTGCTGCCGCTGGGTAGAAACAAGGTGCCAGACCAGATAAAACAAGGTGGAGGGCTGGATTTGGCCCACGGGCCTTGTGTTTGCCACCTGCGACTTAGAGCCAAGGCCAGAATGGGAAGCGATGCAGGGACAATCTCGGCTGTGCTTCAGTGTCCTGAGGAAACTGTCCTCTATTTCCGGTGGGTTTGCTCCACCGCTGGCGATCCTGTGGGTGAGTGACACCCAGAGTGTTGTGTTCTCAGTGCTTCTCTGCAGACGGCCTCTGAAAAATGGGGCTCCACGGGAGAAATCTCATCCGTCCGCGCCAGGAATAATTACGCTTCTCTTCGGGGACAAGAACACTGAGTCCTAGCTGACATTTTCCTTTTCCTACTGGCTTTAGGATGCTAACGGTCAAAGTGGCGATTCACGCATGCAAGAACACCAGGCAGCTTTGTACTCCTGATCTGTCTTCAACTTGTTTCCTGCCCTTACTTTAAACTGCAGAGTCCAGAAGAAATATTGGGTTGGCCACAAAGTCCACATGGTTTTCTCCCATAAAAGACATATTTTTCAACTTTCTGATTTGGATATTTTGAGTATCTTGGCTTTCTTGTGTGTGGTAGAACATTGACTGTTCCCAATTAATGTCTCAATTTGATCGCTATTAACTTTTTTAAAAGTTATTTTTTCTTTTTTTATATCAATGTGTGGTTGCCTCTTGCAGGCCCCCTACCGGGGACCTGGCCTGCAACCCAGGCACGTGCCCTGACTGGGAATCGAACATGCGACCCTTGGGTTCACTGCCCGCACTCAGTGCACTGAGCTACACCAGCCAGGGCTGATTGCTATCAACGTTAACTGATCTACCTGACCCTGGAGCATCGTCCAGTGAGAAATCCCCGGCATGAGACTTTGCAAACCACTTTTGACACTTTTGATCAGTCACAGCACCTTCTCCACACACTGCACCAATCTTTTTTCGCGTTTCAGTTGCGTTTTTACCTTTTTGGGAATAATAAAGAATATGCGGAAAATACTGGGTATTTTCTTACATCTTCACTATTAAAATGGCTACACTAAAATCCCCCAATTTTAGTAAGTTTTTTAATGCACACTGATACGGCAGCTGTCACAATGCAATCTTAACAAAATTGTTTCGAAGGAAGAGAAGGAAGCGCTACTAGAGCCACATTAAGGAAAAACTCAAACGAACTTTTTGGCCAACCCAGTATTTTATTGCATCGTATGAATTTACGTAAGGCCTCACCTTCTTTTCCCCGCCGGACTGGGTGGAGGCTGCCAGCACACTTCGGTTCGGTTAATTCGTGTTACAAACACGCACAGCCCCTTCCTCCATCAGCCTCCCACCCGTCCAGGAGGGGAGGCCGGACTGGGGCTTCAACAGGCCGGGCAGCCTCTGGCCTGCACCCCTGGTGCTCAGCCTACTCATCACCCTGCCCCACAGGCTTCCCCTGCCACCGTCACATCATCCCCGCCCACAGCAGCACACCCCACTTCCCCGCGTGGCCTCTCCCTTGCGGCTCCGCCCCTTCCGGCCGGCGGGGGTGCAGGGGAGGGGCGGGCCGGCCGGGGAGCGCGAGCGTCCCGAGCCAGCGCCCCGCGGCGGCCGGCCGGCGGGCCATGCTCATCACGCTCTGCTACCTGTACCTGTGGGTGCGCTGGGGGCGCCGGCCGGCCGCGCTCGTGCGCACCACAGTGCGGCGGCTGCTCGCCACGCGCTGTTCCTTCACGTTCTGCGGCGCGGCCGCGCAGCCCCGGGATGCCCGCGTGTGCCTGAGCCGCGGCGGCCGCGTCTTCTGCGTCAGTGAGAGCCAGGTGGGCGGGCGGCGGGCGGCGGGCGGCGAGGGGGCGGGGCCTAAAGGGGGCGGGGCGGCAGGGCGGGGGTCGCGGTCTACGCGCCCCTCGCCCTGCAAGCCAATCCGGAAGCGGCCGGCCGCCCGCTCTGGGCGGTGCGAACCGGAGGCGCACCTTCCGCGCCGGCGCGGGGCGGCGGGCTGGGGTCTCCCTGCGCGCGATGCCGGGGAAACCCGGGTCAGGGGACCAGAGATGTGGAGCTGAAAGGCGGCGCGTTCGCCTCCCGATGGCGCGCGAAGTTGAGTGTGCAGACGCCAGGCTCTTGGCATTAGAAAATAGGCGTGTGCCCCTGTGACCGTGCCGTGGCCATTAGCTCTGAACCCGAGAGCACTGCCGGCTTAGTCTGCCCTTCTCTCCTCTCTGGGCTGGAGTTTGGTTGCACTGAATTGAGAGAAGGCAGCAGATCCCCAGCTTTCAGTCAGATATCTCCGATGGGACGCAGACTGCCGGTCTTCCTGTCCTTCCGCCAGTTGCATCATTTGCGGGCCGGGGCACTCCACGGATTGTCTTTCCATGTTTCATTTCGGTTTGCACAGCCTTTGTTTTTTGGCCCAGTACGTAGCCAGGTGACTACCAGTTCAGTAGGCTCTGTGGTTTAATCTCTGCAAAAAACCTCTGCGCTCTGTAAAAGGAACTGTAGTTCTTCCCGTTCTTCCTATTGGCAAAGGGACTTGATTCACAGTGCGGTTCTGCGCAAATTTCCACGGAGGTCCCTGACGTTGTTTTCATGAACATTTCCAAGTGTTTCGCTTTTCATCGGTTTCTTGCCCTTTCCTTCTGGAAAGTAGACTCAGTTTTAGCATTAAAGTGAGATTTTCTATGTGTGTGCCCTAACACCGGGTGGGAATTAAAATCTTAGGTTTGAATACTTTTTTGAGGTTATGCTTAGGTATGGGAGTATACCGCGCTGCTAGCGAATCAAAACTATCCTGCCTTGTTAGTCTGCTCTAACACACAGAATATAAGTAACTGTATCAGATCTAAGAGAGGGCATATCTGGCACCGCCTAGATGCAAGGGGGTGAAACTCATTTATTATATACAGTGGATGCCTTAACGAAGGAGCCTAATTCTCTCAAGGAACCCTGGTTGAGAAGAAAAATAAAGTGAGGGCAAATGGAGGGGTGGGTTTTTCTATTGCACTGCTTTCCAAACTGGATCATTTACTTAAAAAAAAAAACTGGTAAGGATTACAGTGGAAATTTTGAACTTTCAAAAATATTGAGACATAAATGTCCTTACTTTTCTTGGAAGACAGTTTCACTTTGGAACATCCATGACTTTCTTGGTCTTCTACTAACTTCAGCAACTAACTAATGCTGTTCAGCCCTTGACCACTGCTCCAGCCAAACCTGCCTCCAGCTTTCGAGGGATTCTGTAACTTGCTGTGTCCCCAGCTCTTGGCATAGTTAACTTGATTCCCGAGCTTTGCTCAGATGTCACTGTCTCACCCAGACTGGGTGGGACAGGCCTGCTCGTGCCCTCAGAGTTTAAATCACAGTTCATCTTTCCAGCTTTTCTTTTTTCTCCCTAAGGTCTGGGTCAGTTCAGCTTTGCTGCCTGACCTGTGACATCACTCAGTAGTCCAGTGAATGAAGGCGTGGTTAGTGGTTGTTGGGCTTAAGCCCTCGTGTTTAAGGCTTACAGCTGGAAAGCCTGACAATTTATTTGTGATTAGCTACTGCTATCTGCCCCCAAGGATATGCTTATTGATTTTAGAGAGAGGGGAAGGGATGGAGAGAGGGGAAGGAACTTCGATGTGAGAGAGAAACATTGATCAGTTGCCTTTACGCGCCCGCATCCCAGGCATGTGCGCTGCAATCGAACCCGCGACCTTTCAGCTTACAGGACAGTGCTCCAACCCACTGAACCACACTGGCCGGGGCTAGCTACTGTTATTTTAAGATTTAAAATATCACAGGGCTGATGATTTGGTTCTGTGGATGCCTTATTGTCAATCTGCCTGGACTGAAATAACTATAAACTGAATCTTACACTTTTGTTGCCTGTGTATTTTACATATTCAAAACGAGACGCACACATGCAGAATGTGTGTAATGGAAGGTCCCGTGAGAATGGGTAAGCATAATCAAAGATAGTTTATACAAACTGGGCAATTTCAGGCTTTTGTTTAATGTGCACACATTTTCTATGTTGGAGTAATGTGGACAATCTGTTTTTTTTTGTTTTTAATTCTTATTTTGAGAATTAAATGTACTCACACAGAGGAGTTTTTCTTCCTCCACATTTTCATCCTTTCCTTAGTTCAGCAGACAGTAAGCACGTAATGGGCGCCAGGTTGCCGGGCCTGGTGGAAGCACCTGCTGCTCTCCCCAGCAAGGCCTGAACGGGTCTGCGGCACTGGGGGGCCCGGCCCGGATGCCTTTCCTTTTTCTTTGTTTTTGGTGGTGGTGGTGATGCTAAGGCTTGTCCCCTGCAGCCTCAGATTTCAGCTTTCTCCGCTCTGGTTCTGCTCTGGGTGTGTCTCGTTGTTCCTAGGTAAAAGGCTTAAAAATCGATTTGCTGTCTTTTCAGAGAGGTTTCAGGAAGGAGAGCAGACATTAGTCGGTTTATCAGTCTTGGGGGAAATGGAAGAACAGCTCTTCAGGCTCCTGTTAGTGACAGGCTTCTGTCCCCTGGGCTGTGCTCTGAGCCTCCTCATCGCTACAAGCCCCTCTGAGTCTGGAAAGCATGGGAAAGCTCCTCCATGCTCTAGTGCAAACAACAAGGAATGGCAGGAGCAAGCCCAGATTCAGAATCGATTGCTTGGTAACAAATATCTAGAGATGTTAAAGTTGTCGTGAGTCGTAGAGGGTATTTTCTTTTTGCTGTTTGAACAGCCACAGTTCAACAGGAAACAAGAAACGCAGGGTGAATGTGGCCTGTGGGAGGGAACCAGAGGACCTTGTTTAGATCCCGCCGGGAATTCCAGAGGAGGGATGCCCCGGATCCAGATGTTGAGGTAAGTGGCAGCTGTGGTTTGAAGTGATATTAAATCCTTTTTTTGCATGTTCTCTTTCTATCCAGCCCGTTGACGACTTGAGCAAATGGGCCCTGTTTCTTGTTTCTCCTCTTATACTTGAAGCCGAACACGTAGCATTTGTGACAGAAAGCATTTGGGTGCAAGGTGAGAGTTCACCGAGACCATCTTCTTCTTCAGGCCCCGTGAGTAACATGATTTTTACTTGTGTATTGTAAGGAAATGGTGTGTCTTAATGATAACTAAATCCGTGTTTTTATGAGTGCTTTTCCCTGGCCTTTGAGACTCCCTTTCTTTTTGGATATTTTGGGTTATATTAAAATGTATCAGTGAAGTTACCTGGGCCTGTTTTTCCTTTCTAATGTGGCCCACACTGTTGTTACCGGGTCCAGTCCCCAGGGTCATTCATTCCATCCCTCTCCTAAACAAGAACCACCGAGGCTGAAAGGCGTCCTGAAGAATGGGTTTATTGAGCCTCAGGGTACTAGAAGGACCAGGTGCCGGGGCATCCAGTCTGACCCACCAGCATCTGGGCGGGATGGAGAAGACAAACATGCCCACTGCCCTAGAGCTGCCAGAGCTCTTTTATCTCACGGGTGTGGGGAAAAACAGTGTAAGTGGTTCTGAGAGAGTTTACACTGGCTGCCGATAGGAGGGGGGAAAGGTGAAGGAGCAGTTCCAGGACAGGTGTTTCCCACTGCGGACCGCTTGTGGCAACAGCCCGGAAAGTCCATGCAAAAGGAGGATGTGGTGGTGTCTGGTGGCTGGCATTTTTTAAATATACATATTTTTAATCCTCACCTGAGAATATTTTTTTAGTATTGATTTTAGAGAGAGAGGAAGGGAGAAAGAGAGAGGAAAAGAAACATCGATGTGAGAGAGGAACATTGGTTGCCTCCTGTACATGCCCTGACCGGGGATTGAACCTGCAACCTTGTGGGGTATGGGCTGGTGCTCCAATCAACTGAGCCAACTGGCCTGGGCTTTTTATTTTTTTGATAGATGCCTGGAAATTGATTCAAAGTTTTTTTTTCTTTTAATTTTATTTTATTTTTAGAGAGAGGAGAAGGGAGGAAGAAAGAGAAAGAGAGAAACATCAATGTGTGGTTGCCTCTTGCGTGCCCCCTACTGGTGACCTGGCCTGATGTGCCCTGACTGGGAATCGAACTGGCAACTTTTTGGTTTGCAAGCTGGCACTCAATCCACTGAGCCATACCAGCTACAGCAAATCAAAAGTTTTTGGAAAAAAGCTTTTATTGAATTTATTGGGGTGACACTGGTGAATAAAATTATGTAGGTTTCAGGCATACAATTCTATAACACACCATCTGTGTACTGTACTGTGTGTTCACCACCCAAAGTCAGGTCTCCTTCCGTCACCATTTGTCCCCACTTCACCCTCTTCTCCCTCCTCCCAACCCCATTTCCCTCTGGTCATCACCATGCTATTGTCTGTACCTATGAGTTCTGTTTTTGTTTTTTTCTTAATGCCTTCACCTTTTTTACCCAGTCCCCCAACCCACCTTCCCTCTGACAGCTCTCAGTCTGTTCTCTGTATCTATGAGTCTGTTTTTATTTTGTTTGTTAGTTAATTTTGTTCATTAGACTCCACATTAGCAGCGAGATCATATGATATTTGTCTTTCTTTGACTGGCTTATTTCACTTAGCATAGTACTCTCCAGGTCCATCCATGCTTTTGCAAAAGGTTAGATTTCCTTTTTTATGGGTGAGTAGTACTCCACGGTGTAACTGTGCCACAGCTTTTTATCCACACATCTTCTCGCGGGCACTGTGGCTGCTTCCCTCGCTGCCACTACCACGGCAGTCGGCCTCGTCCACATGCCAGCCCTCAGAATGGGGGAGCAGTGCAGGTGGGCGACAGCCAGCTTCCTCTTTAAAATTGAGACCCAGCTCTGGGCCGTGTGGCCCAGTGGGTTGGGCGCCGTCCCGCAGAACGAAAGGTCACTGGTGGGATTCCCTGTCAGGGCACCGTGCCTAGGCTGTGGGTTTGGTCCCCGGTCAGGGCGTGTATGAAAGGCAGTCGATTGTGTCTCTCACATTGATGTTCCTCTCCCTTTTTTTCTCCCTCCCTTCCCCTCGCTCTAAAGGAAAAAGATTAAAACTGAGATCCAGACGTTTCAAACTTCCCTTGTCCTCTCATCTCTTCAGCTGCAGGGGAGACTGAGAAATACCTCCCGCAACTGCACAGCCGTGGGCTCAGAGAAACCCCGGAGCGGTGTTACCACGGGGGGGAAGGCAGGCTAGATACGGGGAGATGGCGAGCTTCTCTGCCACAGTCACCCCAGTTAACTGACCTTCCACGGAGGATTTCATGAAGATCTTGCTAAGGGCGGCTGCGTAATTCTTAATTTTCTGGGGGTCTAAAGACGCCTATCCACCAAGGGTTCTCTGTCCAGTCAGCTCATTTTTTTTTAAGATTTTACTTATTTATTTTTAGAGAGGGAAGGGAGGGAGAGAGAGACAGAGAGAGAAAGAGACAGAGAGAGAGAGACAGAGAGAGAAAACATCAACGTGCGGTTGCTTGATGGAAACATCAACGTGTGGCCTGCAACCCAGGCATGTGCCCTGACTGGGAGTCGAACCAGCAACACTTTGGTTCGCAGCCCGAGCTCAATCGACTGAGCTATGCCAGCCAGGGCTCCCAGTCAGCTCATTTTGCCTGGGACCCCAAGTTGGTGGGTCTTGCAACCAGGAGCTGGAGAAGTCCAGAGCTGTTTTCTGCCCCCGCCCTGGCTCTTGCACCGAGTGAGCTCCAGGGTCGCTAAGGTGGGCTTCGGACCTGGGAAGGAGCTGACGTCACAGCTCACTGTCTTCTCACGGAGTCTGCAGTCCATTGGGGGCGACTGCTGGATGGGGTTTTGCCTTTTGGGGGCCTCTTGTGAAGCTGTGTGTAGTTTTCACCTGACTGTCATTTAAAGTTGACAAGATCCTAAGATATTCAACAGAAAATATCTTAGGTAAGAGAGACTGTTGAACTTGATGCGATCTTACATGCTTTCCCATTTTTCGGACCGTACAACCCTCACAGATATTGAAAGTGTCTTTTTGAACTTGGGATACGTCAGATGGCTTTCGCTGTGCCGTGGGGTCCTGGGCGTCCCTCGTGGAGGTGGGTGGGGCGGTGAGGTGCGGCAGCAGACGCCCCACTGCCCGCCGCAGTCAATGCAGCTTCAGTCGTTGGTCATAGAGGCGCTTCTGCCCTGTGTCTGCGTGGAAATCCCTCCGTCTAGGGCTGCCCAGGGCTTCCTTGGCTTTGATCTTTGGGATCAGCCTTTTGCTTGACTTCCCCTTTCTTTCTCTAACCCTTTGTTTCTCCGTCTCAAAGTGCATATTGCAGGGGCCCCGTGTGCTTTTAGCCCCCGGAAGGCAGACACCCCTGGGCCCTGGAGGAGATGGGTGACGGCGCGGCTTTGCTTTGATCAGGCCCCCCCACCCCCTCCCCGCGCCCCGCCCGCTGGAGTTTGCAGGGTCCGTGCCCCTGGACCGGGTTCCCAGGAAAAGGAAATGCACTTCGGAGAGGAAATGGCTGGCGGGGCGGAGAAACCTGATCGGGGGACCTGTGTGCATTGTTCTCGGGCTGCTTCCGGCGTTATCTCCGCTTCCCTGCCCCTGCAGAGGTGTGTGCTGCGGAGTGAACGAGCGGCTCCTCTTACACTAAGTGCTGCCCGTGGGGCCTAGGGCGCAGCTCGGCAGCGCTCGCCCCAGCAGGGTGCTGAATCAACGTCTGAACACCCAGGGGGCGGGGCTGGCTGTCCCGGGCCGAGCGTTCCTCCTCTTTGATTGCCAGCGATAGGGCTGAGCACAAAGATGCTTTTAGCTTCTCGCGGGAGGTTGCCCCGGTCCTTTCATGTTTCCCATTCACCCTCGGCCGCGCAGCCAGCTCCTGCCACGGTGAGAGTTTATCTTATCCTCTCGGGCGGACATCCTTTCTCCATTCTCAGAGCTCGGCCTCGCCTAAATATTTGTCTGAGTTGTAAGCTTCACCTCTCCTTGGATGGAAGGTGCCCTCTTTGAAATGCAGCGTTTGACCGGAACCGAGGTCAGGGGACCCCCGGAAGAATCGCACGCCCCCCGGGCTGTGTCTGGGAGCAGGTGGGAGGAGCAGGTGACCCCCACCCCCCCGGGGCAGGCTGCCCGTGGAGCCAAAGGGAAGCGAGGAGGCTTCTCTTCCTCCAAAGGTGCCAGGCCCACGAATGGGTGTCAGCCTTTTGACCGTGAAGACTTGCCTTTATTATGTTTCCCTCTAAGACAGTGTTTATCAGCTTTCAAAATTATTGTTTCCCTTAGGGGAAAAATTCAGTTCAGTTTGAATGCTCTCTGAGAGAGCAATGAAACACTATGGAACAAGACTTTGTGGGATGCAGTTGAGCGTTGGAGGGCCAAACCCATAGTGATCTCTGGGTTTTTTTTTTTTTCACACTGTGTTCTGCCAACCCACGTGGGGGTGATACGGTCCCTGCTGTGAGTACTTGCTCTAAGGACTCCATGTTTTGGCGTAAGAGCGCCCCCTTAGGGCCAGGCGCCTTTTACGTGTTACCCCCCTTTAGCTCCTCAGTATCCTTCCCCGGTAGGTTCTCTTGGCACCAGCACCTTCTAGACAGGAAACCAAAGTGCGGAGAGGTGACCGACTTGCCTGGGTCACACAGCTACTGGCCAGAGGAGCCAGGATTCAACGTTGGGAAGTCCGACTCTGGAGCCCCGTGGCGACCAGGCTGCCCCGGAACCGTGGGGAAAGGAGCAAACCGCCTCGACTTCCCTGTTCTTTTTAAAATTGGCATGTAATTCACACACCGCGACACCATCCTTTTCAAGTGTGCACTCACAATTCAGCAGGTGTGCAAGCACCACCACCACTAATTCCAGAACGTTTTCATCAGCCCAGAGAGAAACTGTGCACACGTCAGCATTGAATGTTCTGGCTACGTCCTACGAATGGAGTCATGTCACACGTGGCCTTTAGTTATCGGCTTCCTTCAGTTATCACAGCGTATTCAGGGTGCATCTGTGTTGCAACAGGTGTTAGTACTTCTTTCCTTTCCTGGCTGAGTCCATTGTACGACTGTACGCATTTTGTTTCTCCATTCATCTGCTGATGGGCGTTGGGGTTGTTTTGGCTCTTTGGCTGTTGTGACCAGCTCTGCTGTGGACATTTGTATATGAGTTTTGTGTGCAGACGTATGTTTTCGGTTCTCTTAGGTGTATACCTGGAGTGAGATTGCTGGATCATTTGCAACTTTATGTTTGCCTTTTTTCCCAAATTAAAAAAAAATTTTTTTAGAGAATGAAAGGGAGGGAGAGAGACAGAGAAACAAACATCGATTTATTGTTCCACTTATTGATGCATTCATTGGTTGCTTCTTGTACCATATGTGCGCTGACAGGGAATCGAACCCGCAACCTTGGTGCATTGGGATGACGCTCCAACCAACTGAACTACCCAGCCAGAGGTCTATGTTTAACTTTTTGAGGAACTGTCAAATTCTTTTCCAGAAACTTGTAACGTTTTACATTTCCACCAGCTGTGTATCTGGATTTGGAATTTTTTTTAAAGGTAACATTTGCGTCATTTTAAAAAATTTATTTATGTTTAGAGAGGGAAGGGAGGGAGAAAGAGAGAAAGAAACATCAATGTGCAGTTGCTGGGGGCCGTGTCCTGCAACCCAGGCATGTGCCCTGACTGGGAATCAAACCTGCGATGCTTTGGTTTGCAGCCTGAGCTCAACTTTTGAGCTACGTCAGCCAGGGCGGATTTGGATTTTTCAACACCCTCTACACTTGTTTTTGTCTTTTTAATGATAACTACCTGAGGAGAAGTGATGTATTTCATTGTAGTTTTGATTTGAGTTTCCCTAATGACTAATGATTTTGAGTATCTTTTCAAGTGCTTATTTCCACTTATATATTTTCTTTGGAGAAATGTCTTTCAGATCCTTTGACTATTTTTAAATTGGATATTTGTCTTTTTATTGTTGAGCTTTTGGAGTTCTTTAAATGTTGTGGATACAAGTATCTTATCAGATACATGATTGCAAGTATTTTCGCCCACTTTGTGGATCTACCTTCTCATTTTCTTGAAAATGTTTTCTGAAACACAAACAATTTCGGTCAAGTCCAGTTTATCTGATTTTTCCTTTGTTGCTTGCAGTTTTGGAGCCCTGTCTGTGAATCCGCCGCCCGAGCCAAGGTCACGACCGTTTACGTGTGTGTTTTCTTCTAAGAGCTTTGTAGCTTTAGCTCTCACGTCGCTGACTGGGCCCGCTGGAGTTGAGTTCTGGAGTGTGCGTGGACTGGGGTGGGGTCCTTTTCCACGCAGGGTCTGGTTGCGCCAGCGTGTTCTTCTTTCCCTGCTGCACTGTCTTGGCAGCCTCGTCCGGACTCAGAGTCTGTAAATGTGCATGTTTGTTTCTGTGCTTTCAGCTCTGGTCCGTCGGTCCGTGTGTCTCTCCTTCTGCCCAGCGGACCTTTCCTGTGAGCCCGGGTTGCTTGGACGGCAACTGCACTCAGGGCAGAAGTGGTTTGGCTTGTGGGACTCCCCCTATGGGTTCAGGATTTCCCCCAGCATTTGGTCTGGCCATTCTTAACATTGTCTAGCCCGTTCTTCAGTGCTGTTAAGATGATGTTTTATTTCATTTACTCAGCATTTTTTCATTGGTTTCAGCAAATTGTTTCTAAAAAGGTAGCCTACCAATGTAAAAAAAAAAAGAATTCAAAATTGTATATCTCTGACTGTGGGATGTGGGGCAGCGTATTCCTGGGAAGATTCATTCATGGCCTCTTAGGAAACGGTCACTGTGTTTGCTGTTGCTTTTACAACCAGACTCCTATCAGCTAATCACAGCAGCTTTCTTTACTGAACTTATGTTCTCCCAGGGTCTGGGGAATGGCGCTTTCCTCCTTCAGTTGCTTGCAAAGCAGCGGAGACGTCATTCACTTTGAAAGGAGAGGCTCATACTTAGTGCCTTGTGAGCCCTGCTGTGGGGTGGGAACGGGAGCGTTTCACTCAGAACAGCGTTGGCGGTAATCAGGTAGCGGCGGGGCGCTGAAGGGAAAAACGAAGTGCGGTATCTATTATTTTAAAGAAGAAAAATCCCAGCCTCTCTTTTTCTCTCTCCTCCCTAATTCGTTTTTTCTCAGGTTGTGAAGTGGTCGGACTGTTGTTTGCCGTTGGCTTGCAGACCCGGGGACCCTTACCAGCTGATCGCCAGAGCCAGTGTGGATGACTTCAGCAGGCTGGGGGTGGCGTTCATGGAAGACCGCCTCCAGATGGCCAATGGACTGATACCCCAGAAGATTGTTTGTAAGTGACGGTGGCTGTTTTCCTCATAGTGGTGCCATAGATTATCAGCCTAAGGACTCTTGAGCACATCTATCTGGTATGACTTAGGGGCATGCTTATTTTCAGTTTAATTCAGTCAACAGGTCAGAATTCCACAATAGTATAAAATTCATACATTAGTCAGTTTTTTTGAGGTGCTTAACCCTCAGTATATCATGGGTACTTTTGAAATTCTTAAACAAGGATACCCATAATTACATTGTCTTCAAGCTAGCCTGCAAAGTCAGAACCCACATAATATTTGTTTCTCCCAATCTAATACAGTGTAACTAGTTTCTAGGCTATGGTTTGATTGAATGACAAGCCTAGTCAGTGTTACTCGGAAGTTTTAAACCTCGCAGATTTTTTTTTACCTGAAATACACATACCACAATATTTTGGACACGTCTTTTTTGTAGAAAATGCACAAAATAGTCTTCCTTAATTAAGCTTCAAAGTTGGCCCTTTATGTCCACAGAAGTCCTGCAGGTGCACCGCAAAAGCGTGAGCAGTGAGCAAGTGAGTGTCATTTACTAGCTCGGAAATTTGTGCGAAGCACTCCGTTTCCCCACTTGCCACGTGCATGGCCCTCATACCTTGTCAGACGTGTAGCAGGTGCTCAGTAAATGGCTTCTGGATCGGTGGTTGTAAGTTACATTTCAGTCCTGAGATGAGGTACTGGAAGTTCCGGAAGGCCCTTTATACGTGGTTGATCTGATAAGTGTCCTGGGGGTGACTTTTTCCTGGGTGTGCTTGATGACTTTGTTTGGTAGTTTTGTTATCATATAGGAGATTGACACCCAAGAAATCAGATCTAGAAGTAAGCAGGCAAAGCTCACTTTCTTTTTTCTTTGTTTTTAAGATTTTATTTATTTATTTTTAGCAATGCGAAGGGAGGGAGAGAGGGAGAGAAACATCAATGTGTGGTTGCCTCTCACATGCCCCCTACTGGGGGACCTGGCCCGCAACCCAGGCATGTGCCCTGACTGGGAATCGAACTGGTGACCCTTTGGTTCACAGGCCGGCACTCCATCCACACCAGCCAGGGCAAGCTCACTTTCTTGACCAGTCTGAGGTTTTCAGATTCTTGTAAGGCAGGGCGTGGTGGAGGCTCGGATTTCACCTGAGATCCTCAGAGGCGCCCTCCTCGCAGGCAGAAGCAATGACGTGGTCCCGAAGGATGGCACCGCGTTGACGTGGGGATGCGGGGAGAGCTGTGCAGCGGCTGCCGGGGGGTGGGGGGAGCGTGAGTCAGGGAGCGCAGAGACTGCTGTGAGCTGTTGAACGGAGCTGCACGCCGAACCTGAAGAGCTGATGGTCTGTTCTGCTCATGCTTTAGCAGTGCACCTGCAGGACTCGGCACTGAAGGACCTGAAGGGACTGAAGGACCAGGCCACGAGCAAGCCAGCCCACGCCCTGCAGCCGAGCCCCGACCCTGCCGCTGAGCCTGAGCCTGAGCCTGAGCCTGAGCCTGAGCCTGAGCCTGAGCCTGATACGGGCAGGATGGAGTGCCCTGGAGATGGCGCCCCTGGGAGCGAGCCTGCCCAGGAGGGCGACCGAGGGGAGGGCTGCGTGGAGCTCTGTCACCTCCATCTGTCTAGTTGCCACGAGTGTTTGGAGCTAGAGAACAGCACCATTGAGTCTGTCAAGTTTGCATCTGCAGAGAACATTCCAGATCTTCCCTACGACCCCAGCGGCGGTGTGGAGGGTGTTGCCGATGCCACCCGCCCTGAGAGCGAAGGGAGGAGAGCCAACATCACCGGGAAGGCGCCCAACATCCTCATCTACGTGGGCTCCGACTCCCAGGAAGCCCTGGACAGGTTCCAGCAGGTGCGGTCAGTGCTGGCCGACTGCGTGGACCCGGACAGCTACACCCTCTACCTCCTGTCGGGGGAGAGCGCCCGCCGGGACCCGTGGCCGGACAACTGTCTGCTGCTGGTCCTTGCCACCAGGGGGTCTGTGCCCAAAGACCTGCACCAGAAGTTCATGGCCTACCTTTCTCAGGGCGGGAAGGTGCTGGGCTTGTCTTCGTCCTTCACGTTCGCCGGCCTCCAGGTGACCAGCAAGGACGCGCTGCGGGAGACCGTCCAGGACCTGGTGTTCTCCAGGGCTGACCGGAGCCAGGTGAAGCTCAGCGTCCTGAGCAGCGGCTGTGTTTACGAGGAGGGCCCCGGGGAGCCGCTCGGCCTGGGCAGGCTCCAGGGCCGCCTGGAGAACGAGGACAAGGACAGGCTGATCGTGCAAGTGCCTTTCGGAACTCGCGGAGGAGAGGCCGTTCTTTGCCAGGTAGGGAGGCGGGTGGCGTCCCTGGCGTGATCGCGGTACCTCTGAGGGGACTGCGCCCCTACGGCCGTGCACGGGGAGGCCCGAGAGCCTGCGCCGTGGGGCGCTCTGGGCTGCGGCTGGGCGTTTTCGCTGATTTGAGTAGATGGGGTGAATCAGGGCTGTCCTGTCGCGTGAATATCTCGTCCAACAAAACACCTGTGGGGCAGGAACACAGCAGACGGCACGACGGCCAATGTCAGATTGCTGGTTAACCGAAGGTTAGCTGGAAAAGTCTTTCTCATCTTGTTCTGTACTGGTAATAATCTTACTAAACTACAGTAGTCCGCTCCCTCGCCTCAAAGCACACTCGGGTTAATATGGTCAAATCTTTGTTGAGTGTAGCGAGTTGCACGCCTCGGGGGTGGTGATTCCGAATGGGGTTTTGGGATTGCACCCCAACCGGCAGGGGCTGTGAAGGTTGAAAATGCCTTCAAACCCTCCGTTTCTTTCTTGTGCTTTGTCATTCTTTTTTTTTTAAAGATTTTATTTATTTATTTATAGAGAGGGAAGGGAGGGAGAAAGAGAGAGAGAGAGAAACATCAATGTGCGGTTGCTGGGGGCCGTGGCCTGCAACCCAGGCATGTGCCCTGACTGGGAATTGAACCTGCGATGCTTTGGTTCGCAGCCTGAGCTCAATCCACTGAGCTACGCCAGCCAGGGCAGTGATTTGTAATTCTTAAAATCTGAGTGCTGAGAAAAATCTCACGTGGAAGAATATTGACATGGTTTAGATACAGGGCATGTTACTACATGGGGAAGGAAAAAATGGAGAGGGAGATGAACAGAAAGGCTCCCTCCTGCCTGTCCCAGGCAGCCCTGCGGCTCAGCTGCTGGGTTTTCCCCGCCCCTTCCCTTTTAGCTGTTTGTTTGCTTGTTTGTTTAAGCAAATAGTAGTAGACAGACTGTTTCAGAATTCCTGATCACTTACTGCAAACCCTTGAACGCCTTTGGGTAAATGTTTTCGTTCGAGTTAGGTGAACATTCTTAAGGAATTGTTGAACTCATGAGACAACTGAGGAGATGTAGATACTTTGCCCAGAATAGTTCCCAGAAGGAGTGTAACGGCATTGTTTCCTTATAGGAATCTTTTTATTGAATTGGAGAACTGTTTCATTTTTTTTGTTGTTTTCATTTCCTATACTGTCTCTCTTCCCAGCCCTTCTGAGTCTCTTTGGTTTCGGACCAGACATTTTTCAAGGGTAACATTTGTTTCTTTTACCATTGCCCCCACTCATTTGTTCCTAAGATGACACTCAGCCAAAGACGCACGTAAGTGAGGAGTCTGGACCTCAGGACAGAGGGACACGGACCACCCGATCAGGTTTTCTCTAGGTCGCCAGCTATGTGAATTTGTGTTCGGAGGGCTAATAAATGTTCCTCTTATCTTTTTCTCTGAAAATACAGTAATGGTAGCAAATATGGATTCTCAGAAAGTGCACTTAAACACCCAGCTTCCGGGGGCTGTGCTTCAGCTTCGAGCAGCGAATTGGACCACCCGCTGCCCAGACTCGCGCTGGAGAACTGAGTCGGCGCTGAGACTGCTGCTCCCCGGGCTGCACCGCGGATCTGCCCGCTGCGCCGGTTCAGTTGACCCCGCTGCTGCCGTAAAATTTGATACTCTAGAAAAAAAAAAAGGCAATATGATGCAGCTTCAAAAATCGGATTCAGAGGATTAGGGTGTCAGTTTTGATTTTAAATGACTCCCAGTCTCTGGGACAGGGTCACTGTTTCCTCCTCAGGTCCGTGTCACCGTGATACCTCGCCGCTGTGACCGGCCGGGAACCGTCACCCCAGGCTGGTTAGCCAGCCCCCCCCCCTGCCTCCCCCCTCCCCCGTGCCTGTTCAGTTTCACCGCCTCAGCTTTGTAATACATGGAGCAATGAGGTAACCCAGTAAGAGGGGGTGGCGGCGCACTTCAAGGGCAGCCACAGCTGCGCTGTAGGTGGTTGTCTGGTGGCTTTGGCCGTCCGTCACCGCAAAGGAAGAGGGGATTTTGTGGTCCAGACGCCACCGATCGGGTTTGCAGGGGAAATTTAAGGCTGCGGATTACTGCTGGCTTTGGGTTATCAAAGGGGCCAGGAGTTTGGCACGAAATCCAGATAAAATCTCTAAAAGGGATTAAGAGTGTATATATATATATATATAGTGTTGGCAAAAGTAGGTTTACAGTTGTGAGTACGCCAAGCACAGAATTTATTCTTGTGCCACTATTTATTAATTATTGTGTTATTTTCCATACAAACGACTGCGAACAGACTTTTGTCCCACCCTGTGTATTTTATACATACCAGGCCTGTCCGGAAAAAGCCCAGCCATTCTCAGTATAAGGAGAACAGTTTGCATGACACCGATGTAACCTGGCAACCAAGGAGCGTGGACTGGAATGTGCATGCGTGAACAATGATGACTTCACTGCACTAGTCAGTGGGGGCAGTAGACGTTGTTGAGTGAGCACGTGTACTGTGTGGCCGTCGTAGTCAAAATAACTGAGTGACTAGAACAATGAGTTTGCATCAGATTTTGAGTTAAGCTTGAACGTTCCTCTGTGGAACTGTTCAGAAGATTCAGAAGGCTGCAGCTATGGGCAACTGGTGATTGGCAGCTTTATCACAACAATGCCTGCTCACACGTCATGTCTCGTGCAGAGATTTTTGGTGAAACATCAAATCACCCAGGTGACTCAGCCTCCCTGCAGCCCAGATTTGGTGCCCTGTGACTTCTGGCTTTTCCCAGAACTAAAATCAGCTTTGAAGGGGAAGAGATTTCAGACCGTCAGCGAGATTTAGGAAAATATGAATGGCGATTGGGAGAACTTTGTGAGGTCCCGAGGTGCTTTCTTTGAAGGGGCCTGAGGCATCATTGTCCTATGTACAATGTTTCTTGTATCTGTGTCTTCAAAAAATGTCTCTATTTTTCACATTACATGGCTGGATACCTTCTGGACAGACCTCATATGTAAATTGGATATTAATTTTATTTACTTAAACTTTTAAATTTTCAATTATAGTTGACATACAATATTATATTAGTTTCAAGTGTACAACGTAGTGATCAGACATTTATTTATATAACTTACTGAGTGATCACCCTGATTAGTCTAGCATCCACCTGACCCCATACAAAAGAATATCTTTTTCTAGCCCTGGCTGGCGTAGCTCAGTGGATTGAGCGCGGGCTGCAAACCAAAGCATCGCAGGTTCGATTCCCAGTCAGGCCACATACCTGGGTTGCAGGCCACGGCCCCCAGCAACCGCACATTGATGTTTTTCTCTCTCTCTCTCTCTTTCTCCCTCCCTTCCCTCTCTAAAAATAAATAAATAAATCAATCTTAAAAAAAACTTTAATAAAAAAATATATTTTTCTTATTTAACTCAGCACGTGGCGGAAGTGGCTCTGCTTTGACAGCAGAGTTTCTCCACCGCGGCACCGTGGACATTGTGGCCAGGTCCTCCTTCGTTGTGGGGTCGCCCTGTGCCTTGTCTGGTGTTAGCTGTTGCACCCCCTAAATGCTGGTAGCACCCCCTCCCTCTAAAAACCTTCATTTAGAGGAAGCCAGGTTTCAGAAATGGGCCCATCACTGTAGTAACAGAGTCACAGCCAGAGGAGGGGACACTGGTTGGGTCGCGCCGAGGACCACAGTGCCCACCCCGCCTGCTCACGCTCTGGCTTCGGGGCTGTGAGTGGAGGTGCAGAGCCAGACAGGGCCTCTCTTCTCGCTTCCACTTTGGGAGCTTCTAACCCGGTGAACTCCTCCCGGTGAACTAAAGCACTCCTCGCGGTCTCAGCGGCCCTCCTGGCCCGTCCCCCCTGAAACCCGGACACCTGCCTTCAGGAGCAGCCCCGTCTCCTCTGCATCTCCCACGTGTGACAGCGAGTGCCACAACCCTTGCCCGGGTGCTCCTTGGATGTGTTTATAGCCCGGGAGCACGCCTGACGTTAGCCACGCCCCCCTCTCCCTGGGGCCCAGGTGGGGAGAGAGCCTCACTCAGTTTATCTGTGCCTCCTGTAAAGGGCAGTCTCCACGATGCCACTTGCTGGTGCGAGCTCACTGTGACCCGCCACTGCGCTCACCGGCCGCACTGGTCCTGGCTTCTCCCTCCAGGGAGGACAGGACACAGACTGAGACAGTGGCCCGGGAGACACCGCACGATCCGGACCCCTTAGAGGACTCCCTCCTCTGCCCGCGCCCACTCTGGGTTGTTTAGAACTATTTAGAGGGCAGACTCTCCCGCTGCTGCCGTCCAGCTGGCTTGGCCGCGGGTGAAGCAGGGACCGGCTGTCCCGGGGGGCGGGCGGACACTGCTCTACCGGCCCCTGCTCTACCGGCCCCGTCAAATGGGCCTCCACTTGCAACAGCGGGACCATTTGGACAGTGTCTGGGGACGGTGTGTCTGGCTTGGTTAATGCCTGGGAATTAGCGACTTTCCTGGTGCCGGAAGACTGGCGCCAGGCTTTTTGTTTTCACGATGCTCCTACACCGTCAGCTCAGGTCGGGAGCTCGGACCCCTGGCTAAAGCACCACAAATAATTAGGCGAAGGTGCTAAGGTTGCAGCCCTGGGTGCTCAGTCCTCTGGCTCCCTCCGGGCTCCGAGGCCCAGCTAGAATTTGATCTTGAAGGAGCTGCATGTTCTGGTACGTTCCTCTGCAGCAAGACCCATACCTTGCATTGATAGGTGGTGCTGTTTCCATTTCAACTGCACGAAGCAAAAGCCTGGACTAAATACGTGAAGTCCCTAATCTTAAAACTCAGGCAGGTGAAGGAAGGGGGTGGGGCAGGCCTTTCCGGGGCTCCCCCAAACCCACTCATCTGTTTGAATTCCTGGAAGCACTCCTAAGACGGGGAATGAGACTCCCGTCCTCCCGGGGTGGCTGCCCCGTAGTGATGACTAGTAGGTGGAGGGGCATTTCCAGCCCGACCCCAGAGCGCCTGCCCGAGTTCAGGAGGGACTTTCCGTGGGTTCTCAGCACAACCATATTTCTAAGTGTTCGTGACTTGCCCAAGGACCCAAGACTGGTTAGTGATAAAGTCGGGACCTGGGGAGAATTTGATTACTCCCCTGGCTCGTTTCCAGCACAGCCTCCCAGCCTGACATCCACGATTTTAATGGGCTCTGCTGCATCTTTTTATGGCTTGGCCTTACTTTCGGAATATTCGGGTAAGAAGTTTACATTGTGCTGCTCAGTAGAAGGGTTTATGCTCACGTTTTCAGACGCTCTGGTGAAGACTGTGTTTGTCATGTTTCTGAAGCGGCCCCCGCTGACGGAGTGGTGTTCGCTCCCCTCAGGTGCACCTAGAACTACCTCCCACCTCTCCCGCGGTGCAGGCCGAAGACTTCAACCTGCTCAAATCCAGCAACGTTCAAAGGTACGAAGTCCTTAAGGAGATCCTGACCACCCTCGGCCTAAGCTGTGACATCGGACAAGTTCCTGCCTTAACGCCCCTTCACTTACTGGTGGCGGCTGAGGTGAGTGTGCGTGCTCCGCCAGCAGGGGGCGCCCAGGGTGCCCCTCCTCGAACCAGCCGTCCTGCGCCGGCGGGGTCCACTGCAATGGGCTTCATTCAGCTTTGATTTCCATGTTGAGTTTCTGTTTTGACTTCAGAGCAACCTTAACGATGTCCAAGGGTAACTCATATTTTTGGGGTTTGCATGGCAGGGAGAGGGAGGCTGTCAGAACTTAGAGAAGGTGTCAAGTGTTAAGGTTCTGGCCCTCCCCACTCGACGGGGAAAAGGGTGGTGGTTTTATGTGTCAGGAGTGTGTTTGGAGAGCACGACGTTCACATTTGGGACTGAAAACCTTTGCTTTGATTTGGACCTTGCGTCAGCCCATCTGGGAAGGGAAAGAGCCATCTCAGGTCTGTTTTGTTTTTGTGCTGACGCCTGCCATCTTGTGGCCAAGGGGGGCTCTGGATTTCGGTTTGTTTCCTGGTCGCGTGTGAGAGGAGAATGGCCGTGGACTTGGCAACAGTGTGCCGCGGTGTTCCCGGCCCGGCGTCTGCGGTGATGCCTGTGGCCGCTGCCCGCGCAGGTGGCCGCCTTCTCCAGGTGTGTCTCCGTGCTAATAATCCCTTTGCTTCTCCAAGCTGTCAGTTTCTTACTAATTACGGCAAATTATTTCGTGGGACTCTTTCTGTTGTCTCTGCTGAGGAGGGAAATCGCTGAGGGTAGTGACATAACCTTGCAGATTCAGCAGGAAGCTAATAGTCCAGGTGACTCTGAACAAACTGACCTACTTTCCTGCGGAAAGAGCACATGAAGTCTCCCACCCCAACTTGTTTGAAAAAGCAGGCGCGCCCCTTCCCTCGGGCAGCTCGCTGAGTGCGCAGGGCCGAGCCGCGGCGAGCCCTCCCTCGGAGGAGAGAGGTGCGGAACCTGGAGCGTTTAGGATTAGGATATTTTACGGGAGTATTTGAGGACTGGCTGAAATAACGTGTGCAGCAGTTCTGTATAGACTGTGTGGTTGAAAAGATACTACAATTGTTAATGTTAATATCAGGCTGTCGGGAGGCCCAGTGAGTTACTAGTGTCCCATGCTCCTAACAAGTGCCTGGTACTGTAGGTAGTGATTCTTAATTTTTTTTTACACATATATACACACAATATAGATACTTTTAAAAAAATTATTTATTTATTTTTAGAGAGGGAAGGGAGGGAGATAGATAGAGAGAAACATCAATGTGCGGTTGCTGGGGGCTGTGGCCCAGGCATGTGCCCTGACTGGGAATCGAACCTGCGACACTTTGGTTCTCAGCTTGCGCTCAATCCACTGAGCTACGCCAGCCAGGGTGAGTCTCAATTTTAAAAATTAACAGTAAAGCAGCGGGTGCTTGTTTTTCCATCTAAGAAACATTTTTTTTAAATTACATTTTCATCACACATCGTCTAGCCAGTTTGCCCTCCTTTTACTGGGTGCTCTCGAGAATTAGTGACATGACTTTTGTTTGGGTCCTCACCCCGGGAAATCAAAGCTGCACGTCCTTTATCTGTTTCATGCGTTCTGTTCACAGAAGCAAAAGCACCACCTCCATTCCTCTGGGGACTTTTGTAAAAAGGTATCAAAATAAAGCTGGTTCTCAGAGCTTCACCTCTTGTAGACGACCCCCCTACAGACCTGCCACTGGGCCGCGTGGGTAAGGGGAGATGTGACTGTCACTCTCATAGACCTTCCCCTTCCCTCCTCTCCTGAGCACGGAGCGCCGGGGCTGGGCAGGTGAGGCCGTGCCTCCCTGCCCTGGAGGAGGCTCATAGTCCGGGAGGTCAGGGAGCAAGGTAGACCCGGGCTTGCCCTTGACCATGCTCCCTGACCTTTCCTGGGAGTTCTTCTGACTCTGCTGGTCTTGGGACTTGCACCCCTTGACCCCTAGACATGGCAGTGGAGAAGAAAGGGTGCCCCCAGGTTTCTCTGCTGTGAGCGGAAGTTTGGAACTCGAGGCTTTTCCTGTGTCTCCTTTAGGATGGGCATTCCCTGAAATACCATCCCCTGAAACTGGCGTCTGCTTATGTTACAGTACACGCAGGTGCTTCACCCTTTTGTCCTTCAGGTTCTTCGAACTGCCTGGGGCTGGGGGGTGCATTTCCCCTCTTAATTGGTAACCCCTACACTAACCATGAACATGAAATGCTTGAACACGATTAAAGCAAATATTTGTTCTCTATACACATACACGAATATTTCGTTTCACACAGGCTCCAGGCCTACAAAACCCCTATTCTTTTTTATTTTTCATTTTTATTTTAATCATTGTTCAAGTACACTTTTCTGCCTTTTACTCCCATCATTTTACTCTCCGCCTGTTACTCCCCGGTCCCCACGCTGATCCCTGGGCCCTTACTATCCCGAAGCAGTCTCCTTACCATCTGGTTTTTCAATGTCCGCTGTAATTTTTGATGTCCTGTTTTCATAAACGTTGCAGCATCCTTGGCCCCTTGCTCTGTTGCTCCGCAGATCAGCCAGTTTCTCTCCCGGGCAAAGGGGAAGGGGGGTACGTTCCGTCCTACAGCACTGCCATCTTCCCACCCAGTTACAAGACCCCTGTTCTCACTTGGGAAAAGAGCAATTTCAGCAATGTTCGCTTCTCATTTCGAGTCTCCGTTCGGTCTGGCTGGTCTTGGATATCTCTGGGGCGGACCACTTTTCTCTCCCGGACCACTGTCCCCCTTCTGGGTTCTGTTTCACTGTGGGAGCCCGAGGGGCTGAGTGAGCGCGGGAGTGAGTGTTGTACAACGGTGTGTCCATCCTCACTGCTCAGTGTTCATCAGCGCCTCTGAGCAGACCGGACTCTGGTGTAGAAGGAAACGGAGGGATTCAGGGCTTTAGAGTGCGTGTTCCTTGAATACAAACTCTCTAAGGGACTGTCATACAAGGGAATGCGAGGGTGGCTCCTTGCGCACTGTGATGGCCTTCCTGGTGGCAGCTGGGTGACTGCTGCTCTTCTCTGCTCTTCTCCCGACGCCGAGACAGAGACACTTCTGAGTACCTTGGGGTCGTCGTGCTGGTGGTCCCGTACGTGTAGCTGTGGGTGGCAGATTGGGATCGGAGTGACTCCTGTTTGCTTTACTTTCCTGCGGGCTTCTCAGTAGATCTCACTGGCCCTCACGGGATTAAGTGACGTGAAGAGGCTCCCTGCGCCCTGGCACCCCGTTATGTTAGACACGGCCCACCCTTAAGTCCATCCATCACCTGCCTTCCGAGTTAGGTGCCGGCTCTGGCTCTCTCTCTGCTTCCTGTGAAATGCGCTCCTAGCCATTGGGAATCGGCGATCTCTGACCACACGGTGTCGCTGCTGAGCTGGGCTGCCGGCTGAACGGACACCCTGGACCCTTCAAGTGGTTCAGAGATTTATTTTCTCTCGACATCAATTTCACTTAGTATAATTTAGTAGTTTTCCATGGTGCTGGTGGCACTCTCTTTTGGGTTTTGTTGGGATTGTTTCAGTGTTACAGTTAATAGTATTCACCTTTCATTAAACATTGCCTGTGTACTAGGTACCATTCCAGGATGGAATAGGAAAGAACAAAATATACACACTCGTGGCCTCAATACTTTTACTGCGTACCAGCTGTGTTTATACAGCGCGGTGCCTAGACACCCGCCCTTTATAGCAAATAGCACAGGAGATTTACGAGGTACCCCTGCGCTTCCATGCTCCTGCGGCGTGAACGAAAGTGACTACCGGCACGGAGACCCACGCAGAAAAAGCAGCCCGAGTACAGCGACCCGAGGTGTTTTCTGGGGGTGTGTCCTGAGGCCTTCATCAGCCCCCGGACACCCCAGTAACATGTGGTTTCCGTCGTCGGATCCGGTCACTGCGACCTCTCAGTGCCAACGTGCGTGACCAGACGAGGAAGCTGGGCTCGCGGAGGGGCAGAGTCCCGCCGGCCAAGCCGACTTCCTCTCGGACCCGGCTCTTCCTGTTTAATCGAAACTCCCAGGGGCAGGATTAGAATTCAGGCCTCAGCAAATATACGACACGTCCAAGTAAGCTAATAAAAACACATGAGCTCATGCATACCTCATACCGAAGTCCACAGAAAAAAGACTGGAAGGAAATACAGAAGGAGAGTTTGTGCACAGTATATTTTTGGGTGAGGGGGCCAAGGGTGATTTTAAGAAGCTTTTAAAACGTTCTCTGTACTTTCTGAATGTTCCGTAATGTACGTGTATTTTTACAAAGAGCGAAACCAGTTATTAAAAATGAAGAAACAAATTGCTGTGTGCCAGTAGACTTTGAAGGCTTTTCATAAGTGGTCAAAACTTGAGTGAGAGGCAAGGAGTCCCATGTCGAGGTTGACGCTGTGTTTCATGTCCGCCATCGGTACGAATTAGTTAAAACTCGTTAGCTGTGCCAGTGAGTGGCGTCACGCTGGTGCGTGGCCACCAGGCTTGCTTGTGGCTCCCGGGGCCTCAGCTCCCCTCGGCTCCCGTGGGTGGAAGGCCCTCCGGTTCATAGTTCGCGTGCCCCACCCCTGCTTGGGTGCAGCAGTTTCTTGATGGAAACCCCTTGAACTAGTGCTCAGGCAGGACCACAGGTGTTCTGACACCACACGGCGAGTCCTTACAGGTGAGCGACCTCCTTTCTGGAGGTGTGGGTGGAGCGCGAGACTCGAGAGCCTCACCCCGGGCCACAGGGCTCTGTGGAGCCAGGTGACAGGGCAGCCACCCGCCTGGCCTGCCCTTGGTGGTGATGGGAAGTTAGCAGGAGCACGCCTTCCCTGGGGGGCACGTGAGTGTGTGAGCGACACCGACGTCATAGAAAAAACAGTTCTTCCTTCACAGAATCTCAAGTCCAGTTGAGGAACTCCTGCTCTTGCTCCTTCCATTTTTATCTCTGCTGGGGAAAGGGCAAGAGGGGTGGTGGCCAGGGCTGTGCCCGGAGGCAGATGTTGGAACCTGAATGCAGACGGAGCCTCAGCCTCCCTGCATCCCATGGAGCCACTGCCGCCTTGGGTCCCTTGCCATTGCCCGT